CACGCGGATCTACCACTTTTCATTCAAAATAGGTTGGCATGTATGCAACTGCGTGTCTGCATATCTGCGCCTAACAAATGTGGTACTACTCACGACTGAAATTTTACGTTTATAATCGTAGCAACAGACCTCAGATGAGCCCAGACGCTCTGCGGCTCTTGTTCATGTTGTTTGTGCACGCAGCACAGGACGGGCGTGCGGTGTACTTGTGTGTTGCAGATGAGCACTTGACCGGCATTTACAGATGATTATAGGCGAAATAGAGTAGAGAAACATTAAGACTTTGGTAGTAAATACATTTCTTGTTTATTTACCTTTTTTTGAGATGTTCCAAGTGCCTGTGGGCGCGAGTGCAATACGTGGGCACTCCGGAAATCGTACGGTAAGCAAACATTGTTCGTTTACGACCCAGCCAGAGATACACGTTGATATCAGGATCACACGCGTTCTACAACTCGAGCTGCGTGAGTCTGCTATCAGTAATCAAACACATTGAAATTGATAAGATGTCATCAGGAGTGTCACAAGGTATATTAGTCTGTATTGGTTTAGTTAGGATATATTCTATATTGCGACACTCCTGATCGATCGATGTTATCGCGGGAAATAAATAACATCGGTAATTTAGCGCGAGTATTGCTCGGAGTGAGGGATATTCTTATTGAAATTCCTGTCTTTTCTTACCCGAAGGAAATGCTGTCAAATGCTGTCGAAGGCTGTTGGCAATGTCAAATGCTGTCAGTGCTGTCCAATACAATCTGTCAAATGCTGTCAAGTTTTGTCAACTGCAATCTGTCAGATGCTGTCAAGTTTTGCCAAATGCAGTCTTTCAAATGCTGTCAACTGCTGTCAGTGTTGTCAAACGCATTCAAATGCACAGTCTTGGCGCACATGTATTGTCAGTTAGCATGACGCAGATTGTGTAATGTCAGTATCTGCATCTGGCAAAGACTGAAGAGCGTAAATCTTTATACCTTGCAGGTGCTAATCAGAAACCTGTCATGCACAGAGGAGAGAGGGAGGCGAAATATTTCAAATATTCTGAGTATAAATTACGCTTCGTGGTGATCGTGAACTTTTATTTCTACTTGCTAGACATGATCGACCGGTCGCACGCCAACCAAACACAGATAACTTGGTGCGAATGTAATAAAAAATCCGCTCTTGTCTTCGATTTGCCAGCTGTGTCCTACTTTAAAAAAAGGTCCTAGCTTTTCCCCTCACTGTTGCTGCCGAAACCCTGCCTTTGACATAGTGTAATTAGATAGCAGATGCACGTTACTTGCTAGCTCACTCTGGGCCAAGATACTATTTTTTCGAATTCCAATCTTGAACATGGTGCTTTTCCCACGTACTCGCATGCACGCACGCATGCACACACACACACACACACACACACACATACACTTAGCAATTCAGGCTGTCAAAGTCATGTGAATTGCCAAGGCCACGTGTGTGGAAGGGAATAACTATTGGTATATACTTTCTCGATCACCGATTTGAGAGGAGAGGGTAACAGCGGATCCTACAATCATTTCGAGGAATGCGGTTTTTCGCGAAAGTAATTTTTCCACCGATTGCGATGAAACATATCAAGGAATGGGGATTTTGCAGGAATAATCTTTTGCACCGATTGCGTCGAAAACGAATCTCGATCTTCGTCCGATGTCCGAACCGCTCGGATTCCGCTCTCGATTCGTTTTGGGCGGTCTCCGTTGTGCTAACATCTGTCTCCGTCTAGATACAATAATGTAACCCAACAAACCTACTCTTATTGGGTTACATTATTATATCTAGTCTCTGTCGTGCTAACATCTGTCTCCGTCTAGATACAATAATGTAACCCAACAAACCTACTCTTATTGGGTTACATTATTATATCTAGTCTCCGTTGTGCTAACGTCTGTCTCCGTCTAGATACAATAATGTAACTCAACAAACCTACTCTTATTGGGTTACATTATTATATCTAGTCTCTGTCGTGCTAACGTCTGTCTCCGTCTAGATACAATAATGTAACTCAACAAACCTACTCTTATTGGGTTACATTATTATATCTAGTCTCTGTCGTGCTAACGTCCGTCTCCGTCTAGATACAATAATGTAACTCAACAAACCTACTCTTATTGGGTTACATATGATATCTAGTCTCTGTCGTGCTAACGTCTGTCTCCGTCTAGATACAATAATGTAACTCAACAAACCTACTCTTATTGGGTTACATATGATTATTGTGTCTATAGTCTCTGTCGTGCTAACGTGTCTCCGTCTAGATACAATAATGTAACTCAACAAACCTACTCTTATTGGGTTACATTATTATATCTAGTCTCTGTCGTGCTAACGTCTGTCTCCGTCTAGATACAATAATGTAACTCAACAAACCTACTCTTATTGGGTTACATATGA